GAGAAGTGTGACTAGCCCAAGGTCACCTAGCAGCTGCATGTGGAGGAGCGGAGACGTGAACCCGGTTCCCCAGATTACGAGACTACCGCTCTTAACCACTACACCACACTGGCTCTCTGTAATCCTTTCAAGTAACATATGCAAAGTCATTAGTTAATTTGATCTTAATCTTAATAGCAAGAATACAGACCAGTTCTTCACCAAGCAACGTTGCAGTTCTGAGCTCAATTAGAGGAAAAGGCAGCACAGGTTATTCAAGTTGTAACAAGGGTGGTAAACAGCACTTCAGATTTGGCTTCAACAAAAAGATTCCGGAGCCTTTGAAAAGCTTCATCTGAGATGTTCTCTGACCCAGAACAGTTGTAGCAAGGTAATACTCCCTTGTGACAATGACCTGCATTTCAGGAACTATGCAAGGTCAGTCTGCCGTGTGCAAAATGAACAGAACAGACTCTCACATTACCATAAATACAATGTGCACAGACTTAAAAGGATAGGTTGTGGGGATTGAGAACGTTTTTCCGATTTCAGCTAATATCCTCTGTTCTTACAGTAGTTAGATTCAATCTCACTATCTAAAAGACGTTACCATTTTAGAACTTTCACCACAACAAATTCAAGTCCATAAGGGGCTAAAAGGCCCACATAACCTAACAATTAAAATAAAATTTTAAAAGCATGAATGATAAAAGCAAACAAATTATTCTACAAGGAGGACAGGTTGTGAACAGGTATCACCAACTAGCTTTCCAATAGCTGGAAATAAATACACAGCTGCTTACATCAAAGAAATCCTAATGCTATAATCCATGCAAAATTATGCAAATAGATTCCATTTCCAGAACTGCTTTATTTTTGCATAAATAAATGCTTATTTATGTCAAGGTTTTGTAGAATTTTTCTCTTATTGTGAGGTGTGAAGTGTGCACACGAGGGTAAAAAGTTTACAGGGATGTTTTGCTTATGAGGATTAAGCAGCCCTGTTAAGCAGCTCATCCTAAGAACCTGGCGACTGAGCCAGGCTGTGGGAGTTGTTGCAGAGGTGTCAGTCTGCCTAGTTCTGCAAGTCTCCATAGGCTGGGTGGGCACTTTGCCTGCCCCCCACCATCTCCTCCAATCAGCGTGATCAGCAGAGCTGCAGAATGCAGAGGTGACCCACTGCTCTGTTAAGTTGTGTCACCCCCAGCCCGGGTTTGGATTGCAGCAGACTACTAGTCTCCCAACTAGCTAAAAGATTGGTAGGGGCATGAAAATATTGTAGATAAGTCAAGCGAGAGGACAGGGTAGCTATTCAGCAGGCTGTGGCACCAGAAACTAGAAGAGGTGGATTTGAAGACCTGCAACGGAGAAAGGGACTGAAACACTGAAAAAGCTCGAACGTGCAAAAGCGTTACAAGAGTGGAAAGGAGCGAAAACAGGGAAAGGTCTCAGAAGCTAAAGTGAGGGATGCAAACTACTGCAGTCCAGAATAGATGGGCTTGGCTGGATGTGTTCATCTCTGTTTATGTTATTTTTAAACTCTAACACACGTACCCCGCAATAAATAGTTTTCTCAAAAACTGTTTAACTTCTTGCCTTACTAAATTCTTAAATAACAATATAAATTGTTTCGGGGAAAATTGGTCTAAGACATTAACCCCATGTCTATGTGTCATACTACTATAACAGGTTGAGCCAACTGACATAAAGAATAAATACAATATACCAGTCAAACTGAGAAGTATCAATGTTGTAGGGCAAGTGGTGAGAAATTCAGGGGGGCTGCAGTTCAGAGGTTCACCCAATGTCTCCATTTGCACCATCCTTCAGTCCTTATTTTGAGGCAAAAGAATGTGGGACATTGCCTACAACGCACTGTGAGCAGCGGGGGGAAAGTCTGGTGTCTCACTGCAGTATTTATTGTGGCCAGTATTTATTGTCAGCTCTAAAAATGTATCAGGATGCGACATGCAGCGATATTTTGAATAGAATGCAGGGCAATAAATGAATTGTGGCGAAGTGGACAAAGCCCCCTGCATGAGTGGCTGTGGGATTTAATACTTTAGCCTTGACCCTAAACTAGGAGGTAAGCCTGACTGATAGAAAGGGAACTTAATTCTGAAAAAAATAATAGTTAGGATACAAGTGCTAAGCAGTAAGTTCACAAGGGCACTGAGCCTCTGAATGTCAGCCTAATGGTACATATACAATACACACAGAATGCCATTTTCTCATTGTTTGCCTGGCTTTCCAATTCTTGTCTTCTTCACATGCCAGGTCTGGAATCTCTTCTTTCTCTCTCTCTCTCTCTCTCTCTCTCTCTCTCTCTGGAAACTTCCTCTTAGAATGCTGCAAGTGTCCCTCCTTCCTTTGCACAAGGACAGCTTGATATTCTTGCAGCTGTTCTCGCTACAAAGCCACTTTCCAGTAAAAGAGACTACTCTGAATCAGAACAAAACTTGCTGATCTTACGGCTGAAAGCCGATTCCAATATCACTCTAATAAATGCAATGAAAACAGCCAGAGGTCTTCCAAATATCCCACTCCTGGCATCTATTGAGGAGCAAAGGTGCCTTTGAATTTAGAATTTTATAAAAAGAAAAGAGGAACCCAGTTATTGAGACCCACTGGTTTTTATTTTCACCAGGAGCAAGGGACCCCAGCCCTCCAGATGCTGTCAGACACCTAACTCCCATCAGCCCAGCCAACATGACTAATGGTCAGTGATGCTGGTAGTATAGTGCAGCTAAACATCTGGAGGGCCACAGGTTCCACATTCCTGCTTTACACCCTGACTAGTTCAGCACTGCCACCTTGAATGTGATTCACTCCAAAGTCTTAACTATTGCTGAAGACTGTACAAATTGCCCGGGAATTTGGGATCTCTCCCTAGAGATTATGTCCGAAGAGACGTATGGAATACCATATTGTCAGTAATGGTCTGAGCCTTGGCAATCCTGCCATAGTCTGATCCTTAAATAGATAAGCTGATGCTTATCTATTTTTTTGCTCCCCACTGAACTGCACAAAATCAATCGGCATTCCCAGTCAGTGCAATACTGTAACATATGGTAAGGGCCTATCTTGGCTTATCACAGAAACCCAGTCAGTACCTGCAGAGTAAATATCAAGGACTTAGCTACACAGCTGCAAATACAGTGGTGCCCCGCAAGACGAACGCCTCGCAAGACGGAAATCCCGCTAGATGAAAGGGTTTTCCGTTTTGGAGGCGCTTCGCAAAACGAATTTCCCTATGGGCTTCCTTCGCAAGACGAAAGCCCATAGGGAAATCTCCGGGACAGCGGGGAAGCGCAGCGCGTCTTCCCCACTGTCCTCGGACCTCCTCCGAAGGCTGGCGGCGGGGCGGAGAGACCTCCTCCCACCGCCAGCCTTCGGATGGCTGCTCCGAAGCCTGGCGGCGGGGCGGAGAGACCTCCTCCCGCCGCCCAGCTTCGGAAGGATGCTCCGAAGCCTGGCGGCGGGAGGAGGTCTCTCCGCCCCGCCGCCCGGCTTCGGAAGGCTGCTCCGAAGCCTGGCGGCGGGGCGGAGAGACCTTCTCCCCGCGCCAGCCTTCGGATGGCTTTCCTGAAGACTTGGGGTGGGAGAAGGGTTTTCCTTCCCACCACCAACATTCAGAATGCTGTTCTGAATGTTGGCGGTGGGGAGGAAAAACCCTCCTCCCACCGCAAGCCCCGGGAACAGAGGAAAAGCGCTGCGCGCCTTCCCCTCTGTTCCCGTACCTGTCCTGAAGGCTTGCGGTGGGGAGAAAAGCCCTTCTCCCCACCGCCAGCCTGGCAAGCGGTTTCCATAGGAACGCATTAATTGATTTTCAATGCATTCCTATGGGAAACCGTGCTTCGCAAGACGAAAAACTCGCAAGAAGAAAAAACTTGCGGAACGAATTAATTTCGTCTTGCGAGGCACCACTGTAAAGTGTTTTAAGTGTGTTGTAAAGTGCAATATACAAATGTGACACTAGATGGTGACGGTGAGCTATGGCAAATTCAGTGTATTTTTCAGAACGTTTTTTTAAAAAAGCATTTTCACAGCGTTTTTTAATATGTGCGCAGATTCCACCCAAGTCACTTTTGAATTCCAATCCACTCAGTTATTCCTTAAACTTTTTCTGCGCAGGCATCAAAAGCACAACTTTAGGTGTTTAGGTGTTAGTAACAGGAGAGGAAGGACAGTAGGAATGAAACACAAAGAAGAAAGTTTATAGAGAAAGTTTTTACTTACATTAGTCGGAAAGACAAAAGGAAAGGAAAAGAAGATAGTGCACATGAAGGAAGAACTGGCACTGGCAAAAAGGAATTCTGAAAGAAATTAGAAAAGGTCTTAGGTTTACCTTCCTGCCTGAGAATACAATTACCTTGGACCACTTCAAACTTATACTCTCTCCACACAGTTACTTTTGATTTCTTTGTTCTCAGAGAAGAAAAGGACCACTTCAGTAGAGGATAATGCAAGGACTCGCCATTCTTCAAGCCACTCTCAACTAAAAAAGCACCATTTCCACTTCTGTCAGCATCCTGCTCAGTTCAGAAGCAGTAGCGCCAATATTGCTGCAGGACCACGGAAGGCAACCATGTGCCCTCTGATACAACCTCCAGCATCAGTGCTGCGCTCCTGAGCCAGCTGGATGACTTTCGTAATCTGAACAGAGCACCATTCAGCACAGCAACAGAGTTCCTTGGGCTAAAATCCACAGCTGCACCTGACAGCCAGATATCCCCTGCTGATTTGCTTTCCAATTTTAGCACTCATGCAACTTTTGCTGCCACCACGGTATATTTCACACTGCCTAATTACCACTGAACTAGGGACTGCCCCAACAGCATTCAGAATGATGACTAGCTAAGCGCTTTAAGTAAAAGTGTAAGAGATTTATTTAGTTTTTTGCAATATTTTTCGAATGCTACGTTTCCCCATCCTGCTGCTACAAGTAAGGGGTCATATAAGAGAGGAGGGTAAATAAACGTTTTAATTGTTGAAAACATGGGGAAGGCTCACTCACTTACCTGACGGGTTTGTTTTCTTGATCGGTGTCTCGGAAGCCCATCTCTTCCAATTTGCACCGCCGGTACAGTTCGTAGTGGCGCATATGAGTCTGCTCTCTCAAGTCTTCCATATTTGTACAAATCAGCATTTCCCGAAGTTTCACAAAATCACAATGGTTCTCATTTTCCACTAATGAAACAAAATAAGATATTACTTGCATACCTTTCGCATTTACTATGCAATGTTTCCAAAACAGCACTTGCACTATTTCAGTACCTTGCACTATGCCCCAAGGATACTGGCGAGCTTTTACTATTTTGTTTCCAATTTTGACCTCTTCTGTACTCCCCACTACGGCAAATGGCAGATGTCCCTGTGAAACAGAGTAAATAAAGGTGCATTGCTATCAGACCAATAAGTATATTAAAAAGTACAATATAAACAATAACATATGTCCTAATTACGTGAAAGATAACTGCACCGTTTAAGAACATGGAAGTGCCTCTGTGAAATATAGAAATAGTTCAGAATTTAAGAAGCAGTTAAATACCATTGAGGGAAATGGTTAAATACCATTTGGGACGCGGATGGCGCTGTGGGTAAAAGCCTCAGTGCCTAGGGCTTGCCGATCGAAAGGTCGGCAGTTCGAATCCCCGCGGCGGGGTGCGCTCCCGTCGTTCGGTCCCAGCACCTGCCAACCTAGCAGTTCGAAAGCACCCCCGGGTGCAAGTAGATAAATAGGGACCGCTTAATAGCGGGAAGGTAAACGGCGTTTCCGTGTGCGGCTCTGGCTCGCCAGAGCAGCGATGTCACGCTGGCCACGTGACCCGGAAGTGTCTCCGGACAGCGCTGGCCCCCGGCCTCTTGAGTGAGATGGGCACACAACCCTAGAGTCTGTCAAGACTGGCCCGTTCGGGCAGGGGTACCTTTACCTTTACTAAATACCATTGGGGGGAAACAGGGGGATTTTTTAACATTCCTGCCCTAGTTTCAAAATGTCAGTCTTTGCAACCAGTATAGTGCCATGTCCCACTCAAAAGAATTTTCCTCAGGGTCCATTTTATTATCACTAACCCTTGTCTGAGTGAGATGTATCCACTATAGCTATAATGGCAAACAATTGTCAGTACAGATTTGTTTAAATATGTTGTTGTGGGGTCAGTGAAGTACTTACATTCATGCTGGCATTGATTTTGGCAATGCTCTCATCATCTGTTGGAAACTGGTATATCTGGACTCCATTACTGACCAGCTCACTCATGATTTTGATCTTAAATTTCTGCAGTTCAGATTTAGAAATTGTATCTGCTTTGGCTATAAGTGGAATAATGTTCACCTATTTAAAGAAGTAAGAAGTTATGTGGTTGTGATATACGTTCTTGTCAAATTCCTGCATGTAATTTCTTAGACACAAATTATCATAATCACTGAATAGGCTCTTACAGCAAGATACTTGGTTACTGACTCAACCAAGTAGCCTCTTCAGTACTACAAGCTGCTTCAGAGAAAACTCAAGCAAAGAACTTATAGTTTTCATTTATCATTTCATTTCATTTATAGTTTTCATTTATCTTGATCCACATTAACTAAAACCATACATTCAGCATTGTTAAATAAGACATGAAAATTATACTAAAACTTTACCTGTTAACAATGAGCTATCCAAAAGGATGAACATAAAAAATATGACAGCAATTCAGTAATTTTTTTAAACTTTTTTTTTTTTACACTAAGGAATCTGTTTACTTTTCAGAGGGAAAGGTGAGATCTTGGTTATATTCTGCTTTATGTTTAATGAACTACCTAACAAAACAGTAATGATCTTCACAATGAGTCCTCTGCTAGCAATTTGTACTACAGTAAAATGCTCTGCAAGGGACGCGGGTGGCGCTGTGGGTAAAAGCCTCAGCGCCTAGGGCTTGCCGATCGAAAGGTTGGCGGTTCGAATCCCCGCGGCGGGGTGCGCTCCCGTTGCTCGGTCCCAGCGCCTGCCAACCTAGCAGTTCGAAAGTACCCCCAGGTGCAAGTAGATAAATAGGAACCGCTTACTGGCGGGAAGGTAAACGGCGTTTCCGTGTGCTGCGCTGGCTCGCCAGATGCAGCTTTGTCACACTGGCCACGTGACCCGGAAGTGTCTCCGGACAGCGCTGGCCCCCGGCCTATAGAGTGAGATGGGCGCACAACCCCAGAGTCTGTCAAGACTGGCCCGTACGGGCAGGGGTACCTTTACCTTTACTTAAAATGCTCTGCAACTTTTAAATAAATTCCTTATCTGTGGAAGTGTTTGCTCTTTTGCCTCCTGATTTATAAGTCAAAATTACAGTATCTTGAGCTTCTAAATAAATGCTGGCAATCATAACCAATTTCAAATGCTTGATATAGGATGAATCCTAGCTTTCCTGTCTGCCTGCCATCCGGTTAAAGTTATAGGAAAGGCTATTTATATTGCTGCTTGTATAATGTTTCTTTTGTGCTTGTCCCACATTTCTAGATGTTTTCCTCTGACTCAGCTACAAGCTAAAAAAGAAATCAGATCTACGTCTTTCACACCTTTAAAAAAAAAAAAAACCTGACTTCCTAGCTAATTAGGTGAGTCACTGGTGAAACCTCAATTAAAACTTCTCCAGCTACCCTCACTGAGAAATATAAGCAGAAGAGTTAAGAAAATGAGAGAAAGGGCTGGGCAAAATTGTGGGACCTGGGTAGAGTTGATGGTCTGGTGAAGGCGACAGAGTCAGATTGAAAGCGACTTCGTTTGTGTCCCTCTCCAGTTCCTTGTTCAACTAAGACCAGTGGCGTAGCGTGGGTTGTCAGCACCCGGGGCAAGGCAAGTAATTTGCGCCCCCTAACCCGTGGATTTGCGCCCCCTAACCCGTGGATTTGCGCCCCCTAACCTGTGGATTTGCCCTAACCCCAGATGTTGCGCCCGGTGCGGCCGGCCCCCCCTGCACCCCCCACGCTACACCACTGACTAAGACCACTCCTACACTTCCTCTGGTTGAGAATCCAGGGCATTCTCCTGGCAATTTAGGCTAATGATAAAGCATTTGAGGCATTTACCTACCTTGAGTTCCACAATTCATGATGATACATTGCCGTTTTAGAAAAGCCATTGCTTTAAATAGAACTGGCTGAACCTGCGATTTAATTATTTAAACATGTGCAGAAGACTCTGCTCTTTGATTTTAAATTAATTTTACACTCCCTCTGAGGAGTACTTGTTTTAGTTAATGGTACTTGCATCTCAAAAAAAAAAAAAGTACGAAAGGCTGTTATTTTATTTAACATGGAAGATCTTGCGCAACGAAGCGGCAGAGGAAAGGCTGCCGAACAAAATGCCACATGGGTTAATGTAAAGCCTCACCCCCCAGAAGTCAAAATGTTTACCTAGACCATATCAATATAAATCTAAAATTAGAAATAGTCTAGTTTGAATTAGCTACAGTTCAACAACGCCATGAACTTCTCTGTAAATAAAGAGCTACAAACCCCAGCTGCACATATTCAGGAGCAGAACTGACTCACTGTTGGCAATGGTGTAAAAAAAACATGCTACGTGCTTACACAGCTCCATCTGCCATCGCTGGCAGTGACAGTTCCATACACACATGCGGCTTGGGTTGACAGCCATAACCAAGGACGTGGATCATAGAAATCTAGATGCTTTGACCCATACTAGGGCTTCACTGGAAAATGCAGCAAGTCAGCAGGTCATGCGCTCTATAGAATTGAGCCATAGAAGTGAGCTATAGAATTGAGAGTCCCGGGCCCTAAGGAAGTTAGATTAGCTTCAACCAGAGCCAGGGCCTTTTCAGCTCTGGCTCCGGCCTGGTGGAACGCTCTGCCTCATGAGACCAGGGCCCTGCAGGATCTGATTTCTTTCCACAGGGCCTGTAAGACACAGTTGTTCGGCCTGGCCTTTGGCTTGGAGTCAATTTGACTCCCCCCCCTCTTTCTTTTTTCCTTTCTCCTCCTGTGATGAGAGGCTGCATTTTAATGTTTTAATTGTTGTATTTTAATCTTCTTTTTTAAGTTGTATTTCAATCAACTTGTTTTTATGATTGGTTGTTAGCCGCCCTGAGCCCAGTCTTGGCTGGGGAGGGCGGGGTATAAATAAAAATTATTATTATTATTATTATTATTATTATTATTATTATTATTAAACATTTTGTTCACCTTTCATTAAGATGATATGCACACTCAGGCCTTAACTATACATGAAGTGCTCTTTTATCTGAAATGACAACTGTGAAAAACGGTTTAAACACCCATCCTGGAGAGTTGATATGAATTCCAGTTGCCTAATAAATGTGCTTTAATTTCATCTGATTTTAGAGATCACGTTTCCACACACAAAACCCAGCAACTGCTTTGGCAAACAAACAAACAAAACCCGGCAACTGTTTGGGCAAAGTCTACTGTTCCTATTTTCTTTTTAACATGTGACTTCTAAAATGAGATGATATTAAATCTAGAGTTGGGATTTCTAATAACCATAAAATAAACATGCAATTGGTCACAACTATCTAGCTTGCTGGTACCAGCTGCTTCAATTTATTTCCTGCATTCCTCACTGCCTTACTGATTATGAAGTGCAATTGCATGAAGCTATAAAAAGAGCAGGACAAGTATCTTGAAATGCTGCCTTTGTTTTTCAGTACAATTTATCTCTACAACATTTTTAGAAAGGCCAAGATCAGTATATTAGCACTTTAGAAGCAGTTTCTATCTTCTGTCATTTTTTAAAAGCAACTATATTCTCATCTGGCAGATTCTTAGATGCATTTTTCAGACTATATATGTGTCAGAGCCTATACTGAAATATCAATATGAGCTATAGTCATAGATTTTTAAGAAGCAGTAATAACAAGGATGTAAAAAGCCCACATTTCCTGATAGGCAAAATTAATATAAAGTAAATTCAAAGCTATGTATAGTAAGCCCTTACACAAGGGTTAAATTCTGGGGATCAGGCCTAAGGCCAAAATCACATCTAGTCAAAACAAACTGGGTGCAATGGCGGGTGGGATTGCCAAAGTTCGCCCCTTTTTTATTTTTTAAAACATTTTGCCAAGCGTGTAAAGCTAAATGAGCACAAGATTAATCTACATAAGTTATGGGCTTACTGTACATAAAGGTAAAGTTAAAGGGACCCCTGACCGTTAGGTCCAGTCGTGAACGACTCTGGGGTTGCGGTGCTCATCTTGCTTTATTGGCCAAGGGAGCTGGCGTACAGCTTCCGGGTCATGTGCCCAGCAGCAGCACACAGAAACGCCATTTGCATTCCCGCCAGAGTGGTACCTATTTATCTACTTGCACTTTTTTGGCGTACTTTCGAACTGCTAGGTTGGCAGGAGCAGGGAATGAGGAACAGGAGCTCACCCCATCGCAGGGATTCAAACCGCTGACCTTCCGATCGTCAAACCCTAGGCTCAGTCTTTTAACTGTTCTATCCCTATAGGTAGGTTAGTAGACCTTTTCCTACTAAAAAAATGTTGCCCTATATTCCTGTCACTTCCCCAAGAATAGGCCTAGAGCATGAAATCACCAAACAGGTGACCAAAACCAGGTTTCTAGTCAGGAAGAGGTAAGAGTGCACAGATATTTCATCGCATCCAGTCACTGATTTCACCTCAGGCATCATTGCCTCTCTGCAACTCTGTTATGAAGCACTATAATCCCTTTGCTTGTTCAAAGGCAAAATAACTTTATCCTGAGTTTTCTTCAAAGTAACAGGCTTTTAAAAACTGAACATGACGAACGATGTTTAAGTAAACTTTGGACAGGGGAAAGGCTTACTCAATTTCACTTACGCAATGCTTATTTTTATTGAAACCTTTATTCGTTCTTGACAAGAAGACTGGATTGCAGTTAAAACGGCATGTTAAATTTATTTTCATAATGCTGCTATATTTTTTAAAAGGCCCCTGTGAATACTCTAAGAGTTCAGCTGCAAGAAAGATTACTGCTATATTTTTTTTCCTAAAGCTGGCTTTAACATCTTACCTTGCTATCGAGATTTTTCATTGTTAATAAATCAAGACTTTTGAGGGAATGCCCTGTGGGTGAAATAAAGTAGAGGCACACGTGGATGCGAGTGTCATGGTAATTATATAAGGAGCGTTTAATTTTCAGCTCTTCCTGGAGGTAAGACTCAAACTGCGCATCTATGTAATCCACTATTGGCTGGTAGCTGGAAAGAGGAGGGGAAATATAATATTAGAAGACAGAAGTGAGTTTCACTCTAATACATGAGCCCATGTCCCCATTTGCCCACAGAGGCCTTCACTGAGGGCCTCAGGGTCCCCTATCCCACAACAGCTGAAATTAGGCTTCAAAGAAGCATTCTACTGTAACCAGTAGAATAGGTTGTGATATGTACTTGATTGTGGTGCCCACAACAGTTTTCAAGTTGAAAATGGGCCCATACACCCCAAAAAGTTGTTGGCCCTTGCTGTGCACAAGCTGTCAAAGGCACAATAAAACAGCAGTGGCATTAACTCAACCACACTTTTAGTCAGTTCTTCTCTATATGGCTCAGAGTAATATATTCTAATCATGAGGACAGCTTATCATAAATAAAAAATAACAAGGGCACAGCCACAGAAATCCACGCATTTTGGCTAGGCTTGGCAGACTATCCTGGTTCAGGTGTTGCCATAACACTGTCCCAGAAGAAGAAGAGTTTGGATTTGATATCCCGCTTTATCACTACCCGAAGGAGTCTCAAAGCAGCTACTTTCCCTTCCTCCTCCACAACAAACACTCTGTGAGGTGAGTGGGGCTGAGAGACTTCAAAGAAGTGTGACTAGCCCAAGGTCACCCAGCAGCTGCATGTGGAGGAGCGGAGACGCGAACCCGGTTCCCCAGATTATGAGTCTACTGCTCTTAACCACTACACCACACTGGCTCTTGCGCGGACATCACATTGCACTGAGCCTGAGAGGTGCTTTCCTCTGAAGTTCAAAGTCAGTGATCATCCCATGTCGTGTGGTGGGCAGCATGAGCTGCTCATGTACTCATCACTGCCTAGCACTGGCAGATGCTGGGAGGAGGAAGAGGAAGCTGAAGAGGACACGGGATCTCCCATGCGGTACAGCATTTCAGAAAGCACCTTTGAAGTGCAGCACCACATAAATGATCCCCCACCTTCTTCCTTTAGAGCTGTGTCAAGGACTCCACTGCTGCTTCCTCGCCATCATCCCTCATCCATCCTCCCACCTCCCCAACTGCTATCATAGCCACTTCTCCCCTTACAGTGAGAAACAAGCTGCTGCTGCTTCTACCTCTTCTTCCCTCTTCAGTCTCTGAGCCAGGCATAGGCAAACTCGGCCCTCCAGATGTTTTGGGACTACAACTCCCACCATCCCTAGCTAACAGGACCAGTGTTCAGGGATGATGGGAATTGTAGTCCCAAAACATCTGGAGGGCCAAGTTTGCCTGTGCCTGCATTAGGCAAAGCTCCTACCGCTGCTGATCATATAGCACATAACCCCGTCACAATCAGCTCTGACTGGAAGGGGTGGGGATGCCTTGGCACTGATGCTTAGCACTGAAAAAGGCCAGGAGGCAAGGGAGGCTGGTCAGCACCAGTTGGGGCTGAGAATGGGTTAAATGGAAGCTGGAGAGAGACAGGAGCACACAAATTTGACAAGGGGTGGCCTGTCCCATATTGCTGACCGAGGCGAAACGGGAAGGTGCCACCCTGCACACATTGCCCCTGCCAAAGCCTCACATATTGGGGTTGCGCAACTGCAGCTTCCAAGCTCTGGTGAGATTTCCAGAGGCCACCATGCAATTTCACAGGAATATCATGAGATCCCGCTGGAAACCACCACCTACGCTTCTCCTCGCTTTGGCAGCAGGTGCCCCTTGGATTCTGCCATCTGAAGCAGCACCTCAGTCTGCCACGTGGATGGGACCACCCTGCAGCTTAGGGTGGCGGGGGTGGCTTGTCACACTCACCAGAAGGGCAAGTGCACCTTGCTATGGTGAGCAGATTTAGGAATGGTTGAAAATCTTGCACAAATTAATTGCATGGCCTTGGCCACAACTGTTCTATGGTGGATTTTTTATTTATTCATGTATGTATTTATTAAATTTGTACAGTATTTTCGTTCCATACATCCCAGGAACTAGCTTTTATTACTTTTTTTATTCAAAATATTTATTCGTGGCCCTTCATCAAAAAAAGATTACAGGGTGCTGTACAGAAGTGTGAATAAAGCTTAACACACACACAAAAATACAGTTTAAAATATATATATAGCGTAGTACAACAGGCAAAATTAAAATAAAATAAATAAAATCACCAGATCATTTTAATTAATCCTAAGAAAATGGCCAAAGAGCTGTTCATCTAGCCAAAAGGGACTTCGTTTGTTTTTAACGGCTGTTCCTACATGGCAGATGGCAGACTGCTTTCAGCTGCCTAGTAGAAAAAAATTAGACATTACAACGGTCACAAACAAGCCTTTGGGCAAGCATGCAGTAGGCGTTTGGATCCTGACCATTGCCTCTAGGACTGGAGCGTTTTTCCAAAATAATCTGTCGATAAAATGATCGTAGGCTTTACTTTGTGATTTAAAATAAATGGTTCCCAGATTAGCCTGTATAAATGGGCAATTTCTCTAAATATTATGTTCAATGTATTGTTGTTCAACATTTGTATTGCGAGCTTCCCAGAGATTTCTAGCAAAGGGGAAGTGGGTACACGATGTCATAAAATAAAATAGAATTGCATCAGAAATACTATCAATACCACCCACTTGTCAGAGCCAAGTTGACATGTCACAGGGCAGATTAAGAGGACATTATTTACGTGAGCAGATACTAACCTATCTTCCTTGTTTATCTGGTCACCAAATCCAACGGTATTGACAATGGTCAGCTTCAGTCGAACATTGCTTTCTTGGAGTTCGTATGTCTCAGCTTTAAGCCTTACATTTGGCTGAAAGTGTGTTGACACACGGTCATCAAAACTGGTATTAAACAAACTATCAGTCAAAGTTGATTTCCCAATTCCTGTCTCGCCTAAAATTGAAGACAGGTAAACATGTACTTGTATGAAACAAACTAGAGAAATTTCACTGCAACATAAAGAAGTTTCTCACATTTTGGGGAGGTGGGAATGAAAAAAGTTATTCGTTATAATTTAATGCGGGGTTTATTCACAGAAAACACAATCTTTCTGCATTTCTTTGTAGCTGTATCAGATCACTATGTCATTTCCCATAAAGGCACACACAGTACTATACAGTGGTACCTCGGGTTAAGTACTTAATTCATTCTGGAGGTCTGTTCTTAACCTGAAACTGTTCTTAACCTGAAGCACCACTTTAGCTAATGGTGCCTGCTGCTGCTGCTGCTGCTGTCGCCAGAGCACGATTTCTGTTCTCATCCTGAAGCAAAGTTCTTAACCTGAGGTACTATTTCTGGGTTAGCGGAGTCTGTAACTTGAAGCGTATGTAATCTGAAGCGTATGTAACCCGAGGTACCACTGTACCCTATGCTCCCTCTCAACCATATTTGTATTTCCCGCTTCACCCTCAATTTGTTTTTTCACTCTATGGGAATAACATTAATACCATAGTGGTTTATGACAGGCTGGTAGCTTCTTTGAGAACAAAACTCCAATTAATAACTCAACTCAGCCTATAGCGTTTTTCATTCAATCTACACCTTATTATCTTTCAAAAGAGACTATCATGAGAATACAAGGCTATTGGCTATTTCTTATTACCGGAAAATTTGGGGTTGGGATGAGGCTTGGGTTAACATTAGTCTGTGGCCAAGTCATAGTACTCATGCCATAGTGTTGGCAAGGCTGTTTTTCAGAATATTTCCTCCAACATGCCCCCCACCTGCAAACCTTTAGGGGCTTGGGTCAATACTCTAGCCCAATCTTCAGCCCCAATTCAGAACTTCATCTGCTTATCTGAACTGGTACTAGAAGCCGGACAACAAGATATAAATGCGTTGCCACACTCTTAACTGGGCCAAGTGCTAGCAGCACATGCTAACTGGAGTAGCCAGCATGGGGCCATTCAAATGTTGAGCACTACAATTCCCATAATCTCTAATCCGGGCACAGGCAAACTTGGCCCTTCAGATGTTTTGGGACTACAACTCCATCATCCCTGACCACTGGTCCTGTTAGCTAGAGATGATGGGAGTTGTAGTCCCAAAACATCTGGAGGGTCGAGTTTGCCTATGCCTGCTTTAATCGTTGTTGGGGCTGATGTGAAATGCAATCCAAAGTATCTGGAGAGCACCACACAGTAGTAGACTGCTTCAGATCAGAGACAAGAATGTCACCAAAAGCTTAAGCGTCTTTTGGGGTGGGATGTAGCAGTATTTCCATTTTCAAGTAGAGTGCAACCATTCTGGGAAAGAGTATTTACAGAAATAAGCAAAATCACAAATCAGAACATACAATGTAATCCGAGCCTAGGTTTATCAACAATTTTCAAAGATATTCAGCTTAATTTATTATACAAGGAACTTGTTACTTTTCTTCTGGTGGCAACACGATTACTTGTAGCAAAGAATTGGAAAGGACTTGATCACCTGCACATCTCAAATGGAAACAGAACGTATGGACAACTGCTTTATCTGAGAAAATAACTTAGGGGGTATGTGCCTTGAACAATGTATCCGATATGGATGATTCTGTTGAAATATTATAAAATATTTCAATGAACACCCTGGTGACTAGCACCCACTGCCCATATACATGGACTTATGGGGAAATATTGTTCTGTTACATTGGTATTTTTGAAAACCAATAAAAATCTTTAATAATAATAATAATAACTTTCAAGTAGATTGCTAAATACAATATGCATACTGCATCTTTTAAATAGGTCTGGAAAGCACATGTGAATCAGTGTGACGCCGTTTACCTTCCCGCCAGAGCGGTACCTATTTATTCTACTTGCACTTTGATGTGCTTTCGAACTGCTAGGTTGGCAGGAGCCAGGGACTGAGCAACGGGTAGCTCACCCCGTCGCGGGGATTGCGAACCGCCGACGCTGACTGATCCGGCAAGCCCTAGCTCTGTGGTTTAACCCACAGCGCCACCCGCCGTCCCAAAGAAATGAGAGTAACCTGTTAAATTTGTGTGGAGTGCCCTACCTGGGTGGATGGAGCAGCCAAGTAATTTCGTTGTCCCCGAGAGGGGGCAATGACAATAAAGATATTATTATTATTAAAAGACGACCAAGTTTTGTGAAAACATAAATTTTGAAAACACAGTTAAGGATCGTAATAAAAATAGCATAATTAAGCCCAGTTATGTAATATAACTATCCTGAAGACAATAGTCAATGGAAAATGGTAACAGGCCCTTCTCACAGCTTCAGATTTTCTGCGAGAATGAGATTTAAAATGAAATCATTCATACTGTTGATAGCTATTTTACTTACCAATACAGAGAATGTTGAAGCAGAACCCCTGATGGGTAGATTTATTAACCAACTGATCTGGCAAACTATCGAAACCAACATGACCCGACAAGGATAAGGGTCGGCAGCCCTGCTGTAGAAAAAGAGTACAGTGAATCGGGATAAAAGATTGCAATGTTATTATAGCTACCAGCGATTCATTGCCAAGCTTTTTAATTAAAAAAAAAAGTAAATAAATAACCATCATGAAATAAACAAAAATAACCTGCCTGACCTATCCCAACCCAAGCTCCTGAATAAAAAATTGCAATTGTTAGCCAAGAACAGAACCAATAAATGCATACCAAATCTCACTAAAAACCATTGTCTTTTTGTTGTCCATTTAAAGCCTGTACTTGTTTGGTAAGTTTTTCCCTTGGAGCAATGGGCCAAATTTGTTGCTGCCAACAGTCTATTGATAAATTGTGCAAGCTCTTCCATTTGCATGCAACTAGTTGCCTCACTGCCACCAATAAAGATGTCATAAGCTCTTTATGTAGCAAGTCTCCATTCTTCCAATCAGAGCTAATTGTGGGGCACAAAGGGCTGACTGTTGAGTCACTGTGCTAATCTCCTGAAAGATGTTTATAGCTTCACATAATCACCAAATGTGGTAGAAGGGTCCAATCTAGCCACATTCCCTTCAGCAGAATGGCGGGGCTGATTTTACTGCACCTCTGTGGTGTCAGGAAACATCTATGAAAGAGCTTAAAAGTTGTTTAGCCAATATCAGTAATAAAGCTTTTTCAGCTCACACATTACAAAGGTCTAACCATTGCAGTTCCTTCTCAAAGTCAGGTACCATCTATGAAAGACACACCCCAAAGACAATCAAGGAGAGAGGGAAGCAAGGTTGATGGGAGATGTGGCTTTGTGAGAGTTTCAAGGGACAGACAGGGAGGGCCAAAGGGCCTGAGGTTCACTATCTCTGATCTAGCTGCAAGGAAGAGGAAAACCTAAAAGAAGGGTACAGGAGTCAATACCCATTTTTTAAAAAAACTTTGTGCCACTCTGAACTTTGTTTTTTAAGAAAAAAATACAGGCGTCAAATGGATTCCATTCCAGAAGTCTGTTTGACTTCCAAAATGTCTTGGGAACCAAGACATGGCTTCTGATTGGCTGCAGGAAACTCCTGCAGCCAATCAGAAGCTGCAGAAGCTCTCCCCGGACGTTCGGCTTCCAAAAGAACGTTCAAAAACCGAAACAATCACTTCCGGCTTTCGATCATTCGGGAGCCAAAACATTCGGCAATTAAGCCATTTGAATAACAAGGTACGACTGTACTGCTATTCCCCACAACAGACCCAGGCTTCTCTACCCGCCATGCACAGAGAAGTAAGAGGCTGCTCTCTCACTTAACATTGGACTTTGGGGACACCTTGGAAAGGCACTCGTGCATCTGCTTTCCTTGAAGATCAACACAAAGTGCAACAAATCCCCTTTCCCTTCTCTGCCTCATCTACACATCCAGATAGTTTCAGGAAGAAGAAGGGCTTCAGAAACGGAGGAATGCATTGGGAATCCTAGTGAGCTGCCTTTCCAAAATCTTGTGCAAACAAGATGCTAACCCCTTCCCTTTCCTTAAGCCTCTATACATGCAGAGGACAGAAAAGTGGCCTGTTGTGCCCCTTCCACATCTGGCACTGTCGAAAATCCCTCCCCCTCCAAGTTCTTTGCAACATGTGCCAAACTAAAGAGTGGTGATCTTTGTGCTGGGAGCCAGGGCGCAAGTGGCTGCCAGAGGGGAGTGGTTCCTACAGCTGACTCAATTTGTAGACTCCTGCTAGTACAGCACTGGGTAAGTTGAAAGAAGATCTATACCATTTTGATCAGTGTACATATCTGATACACAAAAATATACAGCATATCACACACTACTGTATGTACTTTCCCAAGTGACCTTTAAAACCATGATAAAGAGCCACTTTCACTCATAAGATCTACAAGAAATGTAGTATAAACACCAACAACTGGGAAACGCTGGTATGCAAGTGCTCCAGCTGGAAAACAGCCTTTACCAAAGATGCCATGGACTCTGAAGACACTGAAACTCAGAACAAAAGAGAGAACCATGCTAAGAGGAAGGCACATTTAGCAAACCCTCACCGTGATCAACTCCTGCCTGGAAACCTATGTCCACACTGTGGAAGGATGTGTGCATCCAGAACTGGCCTCCACAGTCACTTACAGACTCAACTGTTAAGATTGTGTTCATGGAAGACAATCTTACTTGGCTACGAATGATCGTGGGATACTGGCTGCTTCTTCCTGCTTGATTTGTTTATGGCACAAGCTGCATAAACAACCCAGGAAGGCTTCCCATTACTGTATGTCTGAACTGGGAATCCCTAATAACAAAACCATGGCTTAAGACTACCTAGCAACTGTAGCTTTCTGGTGAGCAACAAGCCACTATATCTGGCTCAGACATGACAGGAAGCAAGGGCTTCCTAGTTTGTTTGTCCTGCGTGCACTGGGGGCCGAGTGAAATATTCACATTAAACTATGGTAAGTAAAAAAATTAAAAACTTTTTATGACATGACCAAATTGGAGTGGACAGCAACAAAATATATCAGATTCATCAGTAAAACCGTTACTGAAGTACTAGGAAGATTCCTATCTAACACAAGGATGTATGTGTTAGGCTTTCCTGTGTTGCAACAGAGGTCCACTGTTTTCCTTTCTTTTTAGTGGGAGGCTAGTTTATCTGTTAGCAGACTACTTGGTGGAACCTAATCTAAGGTAAGTTTTTGTGGAAAGTAAAGATACTTTCATCAGTTCACAGACACGTACTTTTAAATGTGCCTCCAGCTGTTCATGAATGTGTTTCAAATACAATTGTTACGTAATAAAAAGGTAAAGGTACCCCTGACCGTTAGGTCCAGTCACAGATGACTCTGGCTCATCTCGCTTTATTGGCTGAGGGAGCCAGCGTTTGTCCGCAGACAGCTTCCGGGTCATGCAACCAGCATGACTAAGCCGCTTCTGGCGAACCAGAGCAGCGCACGGAAACACCATTTACTTTCCCACCAGAGTGGTACCTATTTATCTACTTGCGCTTTGACGTGTTTTCGAACTGCTAGGTGGGCAGGAGCTGGGACCGAACAACGGGAGCTCACCCCGTCGTGGTGATTCGAACTGCTGACCTTCTGATCAGCAAGCCCTAGGTTCTGTGGTTTAGACCACAGCGCCACCCACGTAATACTACGAGTCAAAAGCCTCAATTAGATACACCCTACTATTGGTTCTTCTGGCTGTACAATCTAGTCAAAATTCTATCATCAAAACTGAATTATATCTTAGATGACTTCAATCATGGGCATTTTTGTTCAAATCTCTACTTTGCTGTGCAGAACCACTACAATTCACACAGAGCATACCTTAGCAGGCTTCTATCATTCCTTCTGATATTAACAAGCCTTAAATACATTCTTCATATGTTATCTATAATGGTAACAATTTACAGAGAGATAGTCACGTTAGCTATGGTGCAATAAACCCAAAGGAGTCTTATGGCACCTTAAAGACTCACACATTTATTATGCTGCAAGTTTTAATCACTAAAAGATAATCACATTTATTATCTCATGCCATAATAAATGCACAAGCCTTTAAAGTTCCCGAAGACAGTTTGTTCTTTTTGTTCTAAAATGGTAATGTAAACTAAAATCCCCATAGAAACTTTTAATTCTTTACTCACCCTCCTTGCATCTTGATTATTTACTGGTTGATTAGAGGGTGCTCTCATTCCGATATCAGATTGATAGCGCTAGGGAGGGAAATAAGACGAACGGTTTATAAAAAAAAAGAAATTAAAGAGAACATGTCAAATTAAAACAATGAGGTAAGGAAAACAAGTTTGATGAAAGTAAAGTTTGATTTGCTTGATTGATTAATTGGCTAAATGTACATACGCATGTTTCCTGCTTGGCAGGGGGTTGGACTCGATGGCCCTTGTGGTCTATTCCAACTCTATGATTCTATGATTCTATAAAAACAATTATTTCTGAATTGTTTTTTGTTTTCAGATGATGCTCACACATTGTAGTAGACATCATCTTAGAAGCCACACTCCTATGTGTGTGTGAGTGAGAAAGAAGCAAGATGGTTTTTGGCATCTCCCATTTGAAAATAGCATGCTCCAAACAAACCATAGCTAACCAAAGTTTATAAGTTTCCATGGCACAAAACTTGGTTAAGCAAAAATAGAAGTGAATGCCACATTGAAGGCCCACTTTGTCTTGTTCTCATCAGAAAAAAAATAGCAGTATATGGGAGTCTGCCCCACAGAACACTTGGGAAGACACTTATAAGTAGACCTGCCCAGAATTGCACTTAGAATTATTTTGGAGGTTTCCAGCATGAAGAAGGCAAGAGCCAAGACAGAAGTGAAGATGCAGCTTTGCAATTGCACAGGAAGTCAAACTGTATTGTCGTTTCTACAGAATATCCAGTTTTGAACCCGACAGACTTATTATGAACAGCTTTATCTTTCTACATTTGCAGAACCGACGTAATAATAGCAGCAACAGAAAACCACAAACATATTGCTCAGAACATCTTTGTAATATGACACCAACTTCATTCTGGAATCAGCACCACTGATAATATCTGAAAAGCCAAAGACCAAGGTTCAAATAAAATAAGCTAACATTTTATATGAAGCAAGAGACCACCTCAAAAGTAGCATTACATGATGCACTACATGCCATTTCACCTAAATCTTCTGGTACTTGAAAACCTCTAGAAGTAAATATTTCCCTTCTCCTGGTATGTCCCACAGAGAAATCTATGGTCTGCAAATAAAAACATCCTAAAGATCCCAGGCCACAAAGAGGTTAGGCTGGCCTCAACTAGAGCCAGGGCCTTCTCGGTCACGGCTCCAATCTGGTGGAACACTCTGTCACAAGAGACTAGGGCCCTGCAGGACCTGACATCCTTCCGCAGGGCCTGCAAGACAGAGCTGTTCCACCAGGCCTTTGGTCAGGGCGCAGCCTGACCCCCTCCTCTGGCAATCGGCAATATGCACAGAATTTGGCTTGATGGTTGCCATTAATTTGATTTTAATTTAATTTGATTTAATTAATTTTATAATGAATGTTTTAGAATGTTGGATTATTTTGATTGTTGTTAGCCGCCCTGAGCCCAGCTTCGGCTGGGGAGGGCGGGATATAAATAAAATTTATTATTATTATTATTTTCAAAGATCCTCCTCCTATAACAGTGGAACCCTATATATGTTTATAAAGAGGTATGTCCCACTACAGTCACAGTGCTATCCTATATGTGTCTGGACAGAACACCATTGTGATCAATTGTGCTTGCTCTTTAACAGTGTGTACAGGATTGCCACTATACACACTGTTAAAGAGCAAGCACAATTGATCACAATGGTGTTCTGTCCAGACACATATAGGATAGCACTGTGACTGTAGTGGGACATACCTCTTTATAAATATATATAGGGCTCCACTGTTATAGGAGGAGGATCTTTGAAAAGTTGTGTATAGGATTGCCACTAAGGGAAGCAGGTGGCACTGTGGGTAAAAGCCTCAGCGCCTAGGGCTTGCCGATCGAAAGGTCGGCGGTTCGAATCCCTGCGGCGGGGTGCGCTCCGGCTGCTCAGTCCCAGCGCCTGCCAACCTAGCAGTTCGAAAGCACCCTCGGGTGCAAGTAGATAAATAGGGATCGCTTACTGGCGGGAAGGTAAACGGCGTTTCCGTGTGCTGCGCTGGCTCGCCAGATGCAGCTTTGTCACGCTGGCCACGTGACCCGGAAGTGTCTCCGGACAGCGCTGGCCCCCGGCCTCTTGAGTGAGATGAGCGCACAACCCTAGAGTCTGTCAAGACTGGCCCGTACGGGCAGGGGTACCTTTACCTTTTATAGGATTGCCACTACAATGCAGTTCACTCCTAGGTAAGTGTCCATAGGATTTCAACCTAAAGGTCACTTCTTGTATGCAGCGTGGCTGGGTTTCCCCCCTCCTCCCATGTATTAGAAAACCCAAAGGCAGCAAGGTTGCCTGCCTAGCCAACCATCAAGGAGGAACAATGTCAGCAAACCCACCTTGTTCTCTGGAGTCTATTTCATAATACAGCCAAACCTGATTTCTAGGCATTAGGGCATGTTAAACAATGCTGGTGGGACGCGGGTGGCGGTGGGACGCGGGTGGCACTGTGGGTAAAAGCCTCAGCGCCTAGGGCTTGCCGATCGAAAGGTCGGCGGTTCGAATCCCCGCGGCGGGGTGCGCTCCCACTGCTCGGTCCCAGCGCCTGCCAACCTAGCAGTTCGAAAGCACCCCCGGGTGCAAGTAGATAAATAGGGACCGCTTACTAGCGGGAAGGTAAATGGCGTTTCCGTGTGTGGCTCTGGCTCACCAGAGCAGCGATGTCACGCTGGCCACGTGACCCGGACGTGTCTCTGGACAGCGCTGGCCCCTGGCCTCTTGAGTGAGATGGGCGCACAACCCCAGTCTGTCAAGACTGGCCCGTACGGGCAGGGGTACCTTTACCTTTTAAACAATGCTAATACAGTAAAAGCAAACATCCCCCACCCCTGATACTCACACCAACTCTAAAAAAATAGCAGTTAATAAAAAAGTTCTGCAGAACTAAGTTTGACAGGAGTGAGCATGAACAGAAGGAAATGCATATTTAAACAACAGGATGTCATTACACAGCCAAATGTCTTGATGCAAGTATTCTTCACTTCACAACAATGCTGAAACACTCATATCAAAAGTACCAAGTGGTTTATTTCCTGGTGTTCCTGAACTTGTGCCAAAGAGGATACTTGCAGTTGCAAGTTTTAATCAGGAAACTAAGTGACTCAGTGTCTGCTAGAGATAATAAAATTACCAAATACTTCAGCAGCATCTAAATAGCCAGGCAGCAAATAAATATTATAATTTTGGTATTATGAATGGAAATATAGTTATTGTCTTTACAGAGCACATGACATCTAGCATAAGCAACTGCAGAAGATAAACAAAAAACTAGCAATAATTTGTCCTTCACAACAGAGACAAAGGATTATTATTGTATCATCTACTTCTTCTAATGGGTGAAAAGTGGATTCACACTGATGTGCCTACCCCAATACACAAACAGAAACTTGTTGACATAACAAAAAACTACTTACAACTACATTTCTAAAGAAGAATTTGAGTCTAGACTTAGAACGATAAGCAGTTCTAACACTGCTTTGTTACTCCACGCTGTCCTTTTCAAATTGGCACCAGTTAGTCATCTCAGGGGCGGAGTGGCTACACAGGGCCGGTATAATTGCATGGAGCTGGAGCTGAGTCAAAGATGAACTCAATATATGTATTCTAAATGCTGCCAGGACTCCAGATATAAAAATGCCTTCTTTGTTTGTGTCCTCTCGTAATGGACTAAATTATACCGTCTTGGTTTCTCACACCAGAACAGTGTCCAATTGGGACAGCATCTGTGTCTTCAAAATGGATTTTCACAGAATTGTTCACAAAAAAATATTTTGTTATATTACATGCTTGGAACTGGGGCACAATCCCACTGGATATTCAACTATGCTGGAAGCAGATTTAACACCTCACTTTGTTTTATGTATAATAGTACTTCATAACAATTTATTGTTATTCTTAGTTCAATGGAATTAAAGCGTGTCAGAGCTGAAGCCTTAAGCATACTGACCTAAGCATAACGCAGTGCTGACATGTTCCTTACTTTGCATTGCATTAATGGCATTAATCTGCTGTGCACTAACGGGTTCTCAAATGAATAATTACATGCAGAATACTGCCAAATCAGACAGAGTCCATGACTGAGAATGGTGATCATCTAAACAACTTTGAAACAAGTCAGGTAAAAAAACCAGTGTGATTACCACTCCCTATGACATGACTTCAATGCACAGAAATCCTTCCAAGCATCATTCCTATATTTGATTAGCGCAGATATTTTTAGGACTACCCACTGACTAAAAATTATAATATGCAATCCCACCTGCCATTGAACTCAATGTGTTCTGACTATATGTGATTTTTGCTTTAGGTGCGATACCTGGAACGTAGCCCCCGCGTCAGTTGCTGGCTTACTGTCTCATACTTTCACAACACCATATTCATTTTTATAAAATAAGGGGACACTTCACTCCTTTTCGTTGACTGGTGCTGCCCGGATATCATGGTGAGCTGATGCTCCCACACTGACCCTCTGAGTTGCAGGTTACAAACCTCCTGCTTCTCCCAGTCATTCCGTTCCTCACACGTTCCTCCCTCTAGTTTTCAGCTCCAAACTTTACTCAAAGGAAACTTCACTATGTTCAATGAATCCTGCTACCAATTAAGTTGACATGGAAGTTAGGGTTCTCCTAAACGACATCCAATACAGCAGTTTGGATGAATTTACCCTAATAAACTCTCCAGGCAAGAAGTCATAGAAAAGGAGAGCTCTCGCAGGGAGCAACTGGCAGAAGTTATAACCAGAGGATTTCATGAATGGATGAGAAATGCAGATTTGTGAAAACTGTACAGGGGAAGGGCTCAGGCAGGGGTGGAGAGCCTTTCTCAGATCAAGAGCTGCATTCCCTTCTGGGCATCTTTCTGGGGGCCACACTGCCAGTGGTAGGCAGGGCCAGAAACAAAAGTAGGCACAGCAGCAAAGGCAAATTTTTAAGCTTGTACAGCAGGCTGGTTTTGACAAACGCACACACCCCTGTCGTTCACCTAGGCAAAAGGTATTATCAGAATTAAGCAGAAAAAGAAAACAGCCAAGGAGGATGTGATGCAGAGCCAGTGAGGAACATGGGCTGGGAGGGAAGGGTGGCTCGGGAATGTCCCAAAGGCAGATGGAAGGGCCAGAGAGATTTCCCACCCTTGTGCTAAGGTATTTCATGGAAGCTAAAGTGCAACCAGAACTTGCATGTGATGGAGCAAGCTCAGCTGTAGTCCAAGAAAGCTGATGCCACAACAAAACTGGTAGTCTTTAATCTACCAGAGAACTCGTTTCGGAGAAACTTGCTTGAGAAAGCAAAAAATGGCACAATTTATAATAAGAAGCAAAGATCCAAAATTATTATAACTACCTTGCACCATTATATGACTACACCTTAATGCAATTCAACACACACTAGACTTGCCTACAAGGTCTATGGAAGCGGGTAGGGCCTCCCAGTAAAAATGCATAGGCTCAGCCTGCTTGTGGATAGTTCGCTATGACGTTATTCCTATTTTCGTTTTCATGAGGTCACTGGGAGACGGTAAGGGGCTTTCGATTCTCAGTGAAGAAGCCAGTTGTCCTTTGCATGGTAGGAGAAGGGGTGGGGGTGGCCCGAAACCTTATGCCTTTTACTGGCAAGCACGAGGAACGGAGCACAACCATAATGGAAGGGATCGACGGGGGTGAGAGGGCAAAAAAGGAGGAAGGGAGCCTACAGAATCCCACCACAAAGAAGGCAGGCGACGGGAGACGTTCGATAGCAGCTTGCAAGAAGAACCGTACATGCAGAGCTACCCAACTGAAAGCAACGGATTGAGTCGCGCCAAAAACCCGTCCGGAATTGCACTTTTTTCTTCTTTTCCCCTCCCCCAAAGAAAACCCCACCCCAAGCCCCCTCTTTTCTCTACGCGCGAGGAAGCCCACCAGGACGAAGCATGCATGGGATCCCAGCCCCAGAAGCGCCACTGGTGGTCTGCATCCTTGCCACCCACCCATCCCGCGCTAGGTAAAAGCCGCTCTTACCATCTGCCGGGCCAGGTCGGAGGAAGCCATGGCAAGAGGGGAGGGGTCACCGCGCGCCAGAGAGGGAAGAAAGGAGGAGGGAACGCAGGAGCTGCAACTCCCAATCCCAGCAGCTGGAATGCAGCCGGCGGTGAGGAGCCGCCTGGCGAGCGGAGGGGAGGGGAGAACGCTCCGCCAATCACGACCCGAGACGAGGGGAGATGCTGAAAAGCCCACCAATAGCAAGTCGGGAGAAGGCGGAGGCGGAGCGGTGAGTCTGCTGTCAACGGGAGAAATTAAAAAAGGGCTGGGCGCGGCACCAGGACGGGGCGTGCCCCGCCTGCGCGCGGGCGCGGGCGCTCTCTTTCTCCCGCCCCTCCCTCTCTCAGAAATAGGGGGGCGGAGCCAGAAGCTTTCTCGAGCCGAGATTCATTAACTTACAGTAACAGCCCCTCCCTCCAGAGGGCCGCGCCGCTCGCTCGGACTCCGACTCCTCCGAATTTAAACTGTGCCGGTAGGCGCCGCCCTCGCTCCCCCTCAGGCTGGCGTCACGTGAGGGAGGCGGCGAGCGCCTCGATGGGGTATAATGCCAGGGAGCGGCGAGGACGACGACGATAACGACGTCGCGGACGTCGGCGCCGTGATTTGAGCCTGGCGATGCCGCCTCAGGAGCCCTGAGGGAAATGTTAGCGACGATGCCATGGGGCAGCGCGAGGAGGAGGGAGGAGGCGACCGCGCGCTGAGCCTGCTTCATTTCGCTGCCCGGCGGCGGCGGCGACAGTTGGTTCCCACCGCGCTCCGATGGCCGCGGCGGAGCCGAGCCAGGACGCCGTGCTTCAGTTCCTATCGGAGCGGGGAGGTCGCGCTCGCAACGCCGACCTGTTGGACCACTTCCGAGGCTACCTCAACTCCCCCGACCAGCAGCGCCGCTCGCGCGCCAGGGAGCGCTTCAAGGAGATGGTCAACGCCGTGGCCACCGTCAGGCAGGAGCCCGGCTCCGGGGCCAAGTACGTGCAGCTGAGGAAAAAGTACCGGCTGGCCGTCGCGGCCGCAGAGCCGGCTGAGGAAACCGGGGGGCCCCGGCTGCCCCCTGAGCCTGGCGGAGAGGGCGAAGCTGCCCGGCGAGAAGCGGGGGAGCCCCAGAAGGAGGAGGAGGAGAAAAAGAGCCTCCCTGTCGCTGTGGAGGAAAGCGGACCTCGGCAGCTTGAGGCGCCCGATGCCGCTGAGGCGCCTCAGGCGACCCCTGGAGGAGGAGGAGGCGGCGGCCAGGAGGAAAGAGAGGAGCAGGAGGACAACCGCTCTCAGCATGGGGAGCCAGAGCCGGGCAGCGGCGAGACCCCGCCTGAGGACGACTCCGCCGCCGCCTTAGGGGTGGCCCCCGCGGCGGCCCCCGCCACCACCCCGCGTTGCGCGCGCAAGAACTTCCGCGAGCGGATGCTGGGCAGCTCCCCTCAGCTGAAGCGCGGCGGCGGCGGCACTCGCGGGAGCCGCTCCGCCGCCGGCGGGGGGGACTCGGACAGCGCCTCGCTGGCGTCGTCTTCCGCGGAGGACGAGGGCGGCGGCTCCAGCTCGGGCGGCTCGGTGGCCCTGGACCCCCTGGAGCACGCGTGGATGCTGTGCGCTTCGGACGGCCGCTGGGAGAGCCTGGAGGGCCTGCTGAGCTGCGAGCCGTCGCTGCTGTGCAAGCGGGACTTCATCACGGGCTTCACGTGCCTGCACTGGGCCGCCAAGCACGGGCGCCACGAGCTGCTGGCGCTGCTGGTCAACTTCGCGCAGAGGCACCGGCTGCCCGTGGACGTGAACGCGCGCACCAGCGGGGGCTACACGGCGCTGCACCTGGCCGCCATGCACGGGCACCTGGAGGTGGTCAAGCTGCTGGTGGGCGCCTACGACGCCGACGTGGACGTGCGCGACTACAGCGGGCGCAAGGCCGCGCACTACCTGAGCCGCAGCACCGCCGACGAGGTGCGCAGCCTGGTGGGGGCCCTGCAAGACGAGGCCGACGGCGGGGCCACCAACGGCAGCGGGCGCTGGAGGCTCTCCAAGGTGCTGCCGGCCAACCTCATCTCCTATAAGCTCTCCCACCACCTCCTGCCCCACCACGGGGACGATGGGGAGGCGGGAGACGGGGCTGGAGCGCCCGGCAAGGGCAAAGAACTGAGCAGGAAAACCTCGGGCAGTGGGAGGATAAAACTCAACAAAATCCGCTTCCGGACCCAGATCATCCACACCACTCCTTCTTTCCGCGGGGATGCAGAGGAGGAAGGTCAAGAAGAAAGGTCCCTGAAAGCCTCTTTCAAGCTCAGACCTAAGTCCAATGTGTTCGGGTAGAACAAGGAGTGTTATTTCTTGCACCTGAATGGGGCAGCTTGTGTGGGTGGCTGGGTCTAATGCCACTTCCTTTGCCGGGATGGAGCTGCTTGAGGATAAATCTACCTGGGACAATGCCTTTAATTGCTAGGCAGGCACTGGGCTAAGTAGGATAAATACAGAGTAGGACTTGAGGGCGTAAACAAACAGTAGCTAGTACTGTGGTTCTTGGCATTCTAATAACTCACCAAACTAACTGAAACACCATTTTGCTTTAACATTTGAGTTTTCAATATTTTTACTTGGATTAAGTTTTATGTCTGGTTACAGTCCCCGGAGCTGCTATTTCTGGAGGGTTTTTATGGTCCAGTTCTTACTGAGGTGGGTGTAGCTAGGCTGAACCTTTAAGGCTTGCATGTGATGCTTGTTCGCCTACAAGCAAAATTTCTGCACATGGAAAACTACCATGTGAAGAAGGCAAAGCTTTAACTTTTCCTCTTGACAGCTTGTTTTCTCTGTGGAAGGATTTCAGTTTTAAAAATGAGTATGGAAGATTATTAATAACACAAGCTTTTGCTGAAGTGATATTACACAAGTTCATTCCACAATGAGAACTATATTTTAAAAGCCTAACTTTAGATCCTTAGCTAATGTAGGGTCATTTCTTGGTGTTATACAGAGCGAAGAGAATGCAGGTGTGGGTGGCATTCATAGAAGCTAACTGAACAGTGTAGTTAAGCTTTTCCCATGCCTACCAATTCTTCCTTGAAAACCTCAATGTTACAAGTTTTCTCCTGGCCAGAAACAATTTCTGAGTCCAGATAGAAGGGAGTGGGAGTGTTACAATGCATAAGAGGCAAGGGAAACACAGTACAGTATTGGAAAATGCTGTGGTGCCTTCCTAACAACATATAGTTTAGCCCTAATGCTAAGGGGCAAGTGTTTAAGAATGCGTAGGTAAAAGTATGTATTCTTAAAAAATTGCATGACAACTACAGTACAAGCCGAGTTTGTGACTGAGAAGCACTAAAGTTGGTGGCCATTAATTTAGAGGGAAAGTGATTATACCTAAAGGTGCACCTTTTTATTTTTATACTTTTGAGTTTTAAACATACTTTACCTGTTGAGTAAAGTTAGCCTTGGAAGTGCTAACAGTACCCAAAGGTAACTTGATTTTGTTGTGAGACGGCTCTCAGTAGCTGTCTAGTTGAGGTGCAATTGAATATCATTTAATTTGTTAAGTGATTAGTTGCAAAGTCAAGAGAGCGAGAGCCATGCTGATGTGTACTCAACAAGACTTTTCCTCAGTCAGTCAGCTCTAGAAAGGGCTTGTTTCATTATTGCCAATGGGAGACTGCTGCAGACTGATTTACTACAGAATCTTGCATGTTAGCTCCTAAGTGCACGCAATGGTTGCCTGTACAGAAGACAGGTCCTGCAGCCCATCTTTCTCTTCCTTCCCCTCTGCAGCCCCAGCAATCCCTCTTCCTCCCAAAAGAATCTTCAGTTCCACCAGATTTCAGGTGATTACTCCCTTACTCTAGCCCAGTACTACACTTTCCACAGTGTTTAAGACCCTCCAGCCCTCTGGAGCAGTTTTTCAGGTAATGAAGGGGGAAAGAGATTGGTTGTGTGAGCTGCCTTCCACTTGTATGACCTCTGAACATGTCATTTGGGTTTATCTTGAAGAAAAGTGCTAGTGCATTTAACCATTAATAATGAAATACATGTTTTATTCAGAAGGTATGAGCAGGAGACATTCATAGCACTATAACAAAAAAAATCCCATATAGTGATCTCTTTAAATGGATTCCCCTACACTCTGAAACACACTTGCTGTGTGATCCAGAGATCAGGAGCAGCACAGGGACGCATGCTTACTGGTACACCAGTGGAAGCAGTACCTGTTGTCTTAAGTGTGTATATGAGAATAATTAGGGGTTTGATATGTCATTGCACCCCCGGTTACTGAATATGAAATGTTGTCATGTTTGCAGGCTTATGCGCATCAAGTACAATGGATAACGCATGGAAATCTTAAGAGCACATGGATTGTGCTTCCTGGAGCCTGTTACAAAATGTCTTGGAAGCTTTCTTATGTCTTCCTTGGCAAGAAAGTTACTTAACAGTTCCTCTTTTGAAGAGGGAATAAATGTGTTGTAGAAAAGCACCAACAAAACTTTATAGCTTGAAACTTGAAAAAAAAAATGCTTAAAAAAATACTAAGAATAATATTTGAGGGGAAGTTCCTAATGTCAACTCTTCCAAAGCCAACAGTTCTAGCGAAACATGAATAAGAGATCTGTGGTATTAGCACTTTCTCTTCAACAATAAGGATATTGGGGCTGGACCTCTGATGCTGCTGAAATGAATATAAAAGTCAAAATGCTGCCAAGTAAATGCTAAAGCATGTTTCTCAGATTTTCAGATACTTTGGAACTGTTAATTTTAAACACTGATCTAAGGGGATTCAAAGCAGTTTTTAAAGCATGTAATATGAACAGTACTGTTTATGAAAGCAGCTTTTGATGTTACCATGTGAGGTTCCATAAACCACAGGAGTAGCCATTTTAGATGTTTTGCTAAGGAGAATGTGTATTTAAGCTAACACTTTCTCTGTCTTCACAACTTACTCTTTGGCAGAAGCATAACAAGAGGCCATGTGCAAATTCTTTGCAGCTTGCATATCCACTTGATTAATATCTGAAACTTCTGAGTAACCTCTTCAGTAACTGCAGCTTTAACTTCTTGATAGACTGTATAAATCCAAGCAATGCACAGGGTACATATAAATAGGTATATGAAAAACTTTTGTGTTGAACTTTTTTATTATATTATTCCAAAAAGTCAGTGATAGGAGTCACTGGCAGAGGAAGGGGTGTCATCCCTGGGGGGTGTGACATTGGCTTGGGTGGCACCCCCTGGGCTGCTTGCCACAGGCGCCCCCCTGTGGGACGCTCACTGCAGGCACTGTCACGCTGCCCCCATGGGCAGCTTGCCCCGCCCCGGGGTGCGCTGCTCCGGGTACCAGAGCAGCTAGATCTGCCTGTGATAGGAGTCTGACAAAAGTTATGAAGTCAAACTACTTACAAACATGCCATTGATACTGGCCTCATTTGTTAGCATGTAGTGCTAAGCCAAATTATGGGTTAGAATGAATAAGCAGGCATGCTGGTACACGGTGAGAAAAACACAGCCACTTTGTTCCTGCTGCTGTCATGCTACTGGGGCTAAGCCATGGTTTGGCTTAGCATTGTATCCCAACCTGGGATTGTGGTTTGACCTATAAACAAAGCCCTAGCAGTAAGCCAATACCAAACCTTGGTCATGGTTTGCTTGAAGCGAGGTAAGCCATGAGACCGGGTTCAACTCAAACATAAAGCCAAGTCATGACTCTGCTCCAAATTATATGGGAGTAACAAAGTGGCAAATGATTTTCTCACCATATACCAACTAACTTGCTTGTTCACACTAAACCATCATTTGGTTTGTATTATGCATGAATGAGGCCATTGTCTAAAACCCTTACTGGAAGAAACTGAATGATGAAGAACAACTTATTGTACAAGCCTCTTCTGTATGCACACAAGCTAGAACAAATGCAAAGGCAGTATCAGTTTTAATTTGTAAGCTATAATTACATGTGCCTTTTGTAAAACAAAGCAAACTACAAAAGAAAGGAGTGTATTGAGCACTTCCACTCACATTTCAATGGGAAGGATGCCAGTGGTGTCTCCATCTTTCTGCCAACATGTAACTTATTGTAGCAAAAGAAATGTTCCAAAGTGTCACTCTGCACGACAGCACTAGATGTTTAATCTTTGTAGCAAAGAATACAGAGTTTGACAATTCTGCAGTGCAGAATACTGTCTGAAGTAGAATATCCTTGCAGATTTCTTTAAAATAACCTGAATATTGCTAACTTCAACTTTCCTGTATGATCTCTAAGAGGAATATGTTCCATACCATTCTATTTTTAAATGTTGACTGTCTGCCATATTTAAAGTACTGGTATAGCTGTCACAATGTTGTATTTTTATAGGTACTGTATTTAAATGTTGATCTAAGAGTTAAATACAAAAACTTGCATATACTGTTAGTCTTTAGTTTTGGATTATAGAGATTTTTAAACTTTTAGATTCTTGGAATGTTGTTACTTACGGTACTATAGCAATTTCAACAACTTTGTTCACTAGCTAAGGGCTCAGTCATAAACTAGGGATACAATAATTGGTAGATATTATGTGAAACTGCATCATAGTGTACAATTCCAAAAGTTTACTAGTAAAAATGATTAAGTGCAACAGTTTGATTCTAAACACTAACTTAATACTGTGGGGCTTTCTTGTATACAGTATGTCTCTTCTCCCACAACTGTCACAGGGTAACTTCTGGTGAAGAACTGGCTTTTGGTGTCATAGTATTGGGGTTTCTATTTCTATGGCTGTGTTTGGACATAACACTAAGTCACAATTTAAGTTTTTTTGAATCATACTGCTCTCAATTCGCATCTCCCTTAGTTGTGTGGGTAACGAACCACAGATCAGCCAGCTTGGTATTGTATCTAGACCAGCATTCATGGTTTGTTCTTTCTCCTAATGCTTCATACATGTGATGGCTCAGATGCAATGCTAAGCCTGCTGCTCAGTGGTTTGTTAACTAGTCAGTTAAGGGAGGACTAAATAAGCAACACTGCATTCTGTTCTTGTTCAGTGGGGTTAGAAAAATCCTATTTGGGAGCCTAGTAATACAGCCAAGTACAGCTGAATTATGGCTGGAAGATGCACATGAAGATTCTTCCCTTTTTTGTAGTATGTTCAACAGAATTCGCTCAGATTGACTTCAGAATTAAATTGCACAAATAATGTAGAACACTGGCAAAGTTCCGCTTCAGACATATTCTATATTTACAGGTTGCCAGCATATACTTTACTTTCCCATTAAATTAAACTTTCTTACCTATTGACTTCACATTCCCTCTAGTCACTGCATTTTAAAAGTGTTTCTTCAGATCAAATGCTTCTGCAGAAGAAAACAGTTGTATTGTATTGGTATTTGTGGCTTTACTGGTACACCAACACTTAAATGTTGTACAGAACATGTCACTGGGTATGGTGTGGTACAAAATTGGAATCTAACCTTAATAAAAAGGGTACACATTTAAGCTATCTCTTTCTGATTGAAGTGTGAAATGATAATAGAGTTGCAATCTAATGTCTGATAACTTGGCAAGTCCCAACAAAATCATTGGGATTTTATTCTAAACAAGCATGTACAGAACTAGATTGTTATTATTCTTACCTCGTACCTGAATCCTTTGTGGTATAATTGTCTCTAAATCTACTGGTGGGAAAAAAATTAATATGTGCCTGAATGAATGGTTGAGTGAAGAATCACTGTAAAAACATCACTTTCAATGAAATAAAATGTCATGGTTCTTTTTATTGTGGAGTTATGCTTGTATTGTGCCTACTCTTCTAATAATGGTCTGCAGCAATGCTATAGCTGTGGGGATGGAAGAAAGAAATTGAGTTTTTCTTGTAATAACCACATAGTACCAATTGCCTAGGCCACCTTTAGTGACATGTAATTTTGTATCAGTCACCCATCTGTGGATTATTTCGCATTCTTAGCTCAGATCTGGGTTTGAGTATCCCAACCTGGATAAATTATGACCTCCCACACTCAATTAGGATATGCAAGGTGCTATTATTTTCATTATATTCATGCTTTTCTTTAGGTTAAGCATCCTATATGGAGCTTTTTGCTCAATGTCTGACAAGTCAGCATGTGTGATGGGGTTTCACAACATGGCTCTAAGATTTGCTGATCTTGTTTCACAAATATGAGTCCCTCCCCTGCCACTGCCACCACCATACTTGGATTCTATTTGTCATGTATTTTTATTTATAATTATTGAGTTGATACTATCTATATACTTGGATCTCTTAATACTGAATTGTCTGTAAAGGTTAGAATGACATCTTTTCTCACCCTTATTTGCTTCAGTTCTTTATAGACTCCTGTCAGTTCACACACAGGTATCTCTCTGCCCCTACATCTTCTGTGATTAAGACAAAGAATTCATTCAGTATACTGTAGTGTATCTGCATCACTAATGCACAATTGAAAGGAGCAACACTTGCTAAAGTGTATGTGTTCCATTCTGGTTTTCAGCATTCAAAAATTAGGTCACTGGTTTTAGATTCACATGTACCGTTGAGTGCAAAATGGTTCAAGCAATTATTCAACATTTATAAAGTACAGTGCATGCATTAAAATGTTCAGGCAATCCCTACCCATAGACGTATCATAACACAATGGAAAAGGAAGAGCAGAGAACGGCAAGCACTGGAGTAACAGCTCCTTCACTGGCCAACGGATGGGACCAGGTTGGTCTCTTGCCATGATGATCTTCCTGAGATGCAGCGGGTCTAACTTCAGTCCCAAATCACCTGCCTGGAGGAAGAGCTCAGATTCAGCTCTGTAGTCCCAAGCAACTGGTAGTTGGAGCAGTGTGTTCTTTCTCATTGGGGAAGAGGAAGCAAGCTCCTGGCAGCTGCTCCTTCACTGGCTAATGGATGGGTTAAAGTTGGTGTCTAATCTTACCATGGAAATCTGTTGGGGAAGCTGTGTGTGCAGCTTGCCACTGGCCCTTAGCACACTGGCTGGTGGCAGAGGCCAGAGTATGTCTCCCTTTAGTTCTGTAATCCTAAGGCAACATACATCTAAAAGCCACATTTAAGCATTAATTCTGTATTAAATAGCATGCATGAGTCACTGATGGAAAATGCAAGCATTTCCTAACATGCAGGCGATGAACAAGAGATGTTTGATATCCTAGCCAAAGGTTGAATAGCTTCCCATTATGTTAAAGGTCAACTTTATTAAATACGTGTGTGTGTGTGTGTGTGTGTGTGTAACCCTGATAAAGCTCTAATTCATTCTCCTGTAAATTTTACTGAAGAAAGCCACAGTAAAAACAGCTCCAGCTCACATTCTTTCCTAATGAAACTATATGGTGAGTTTTGGTCAAGTAGCAACCTGGAAATTAGTCAAACCTGCTTGTCAAGAATATAGGAGTCTGACGTGCCATTGGTCTGATCTGGCAGGGACTGCTTAAGTCCGATGAGCAACCTGAATAGGCTTTTAATAGCAAGAAATTGAATTTTCTACCTGAGCTCTCAATAAATCTAATGGAATGAGTCCAGGAAGCTCTTTTTTCACTTCCTTTTGTATATTATGTACTAATAATTTTGGCATCACAGATGTTAGGAAAATAAAACTAGTAGTAACACAGACTTCATCGTTCACATATAAATAAATAGGATATGTGAAACTATGTACTGTTCTAACCTACTTTCTTTGCCAAAGTCGGCTTGCATGTTTTCATCTTTTTCCTGCCACATGCTCTCTAAAAATACCTGTTTTTGTTTTTGTTTATCACCAGTGATTCAATTATGTGTAGGTGCTGGAAAACCAGGGAGAGGGAACATCAAAGGGAGAAGTTGCTGGAGAATGAAACAAAACTGAAATTCCCCTAAGTGCAGTTGTAAAAATCCCCACTAAGTAATCCATGGGAACATTGTTGATAAGGGTTTATTAAGCACCTGGGTTTTCTTTGGTCTCTTGTCCTGCAGGCAACCGCATGTCCCAACTATTTTGATGATATAGGACTGCATTGCTAAACCACACCAAAAAGGAACGTCCCAAAGGTGCTTAGAAATTTATTTTAATAGAATCTTATGCCTGACATATTTTGAGTGTTGCTGCATGTTCTGTAAGGAATTTCAGGCTGAATTGATTCCTTTTCTCTTTTCTTATTCTTTAGCTCTCAGTGAAGAATGGGTGTAGTACAGTGGCTAATAGACATACGAAAAAAGTACCTCCTAAAGCCTAATTTGCCTTATCTCTGCCATGAGTTCACTAGGTGGTCTGTGGCCTTACAACTAGATGGTGCACAGAAACTGCTTTGGAACAATTGAAAATTCTATACAAATGTTAAATGTGATAATAATAATCAGCAAGTAGTTTTTGAAGATGATCCATGTGGGTTCAAAACATATGTTTTGTGTTGAATATTGGTAGCTTTTTCTGATTTAAAAAAACCATCCTGATCACATCTTGGATTTTGTGTGCATATGTACACATGAATTCTTATAAGAGCCGTAACCGCCAACCCAATTTTCAGAACTAAGAATCAGCACTCTGCCCATAAGAGTCTGGGAATATTTGAGGTCAGTAAATGAATACCAAAAAGCAGAAAAAAGAACACCACTCATGTTCCAGACAGAAAGCATTTGCTGATATGTTGCAATTCTGAGCTGGAACATGCAAAGAGCACTCATATATAATATAGTTACTGGAATGTGTTGATTACGACTATTTGCTGTTCAGAAATCATTTTGTAAACTCACTGAAAAGGTCACAGCTTATCTTTCTTAAAAAAAAAAAAAAAGGCAGGGATGGGGGGTTGAAGCACAGTGTTGTTGTTTCTTAGTCCCTAGCCTACAATTATTCCTTCTGCAGCAGCCTTAGCCAACCTGGTGTCTTCCATATGTTTTAGACTACAGCTCTAAAGCTGCTGGAATGCATCAGGGAATGATGAGAATTATGCTCTGAAACATCTGGTGGGCACCAGGTTGACAAAGGCTGTTCTGTACCAAAATGGCAGCCTCTGACTATGACACTGCAGTCAAATGACATATTTTTGTTAGATTCCTCTGCCATGTGCACAGGTTCTAAGTTGGCAGGCAAGTAAAGCATGGTTCCTCGAAGGCACAAAGTATAAAAACCAATGAAACACACCATGTTGTTGTATGAGCTATTAATGCTATAAAATACACATATTTTTTGTGGGCCATACTGTTAAATATTTATATAAAATCTAATTTGATGTCACATACCTAATATTTATTTATTATATACAAATATCAAATATGTTAATACTTGACATTTGAGAATGGCTGGAGACAATCTGAAATCAAAATTTGTAAAGGAGAAGATGATTAGGTAGCAATTTTGTGCCTTCTCTAGTATATATATTCTGTAAACTGACACATCAAATTACTGACCTCCTATTGTATGGTGTTGTGTAAAAAATCAATCAATCAATCAATCAATCAATCAATCCATAACTGTAGAACAAAAGGCAGTTGGCTCTTCAGGAGAGTAGTTGTTTTGGAATCAGTTGGCTGATGAGCTCACCACAATCTGAATAACACTATTGCCTATTACTATGAATTGCCTTTGATTGCATTGTAGCTAGTCTTGGGATGGTGGAGCTAGCTGGTGGGAGTGAAACAGTGACACATACACAGCTTTTGTCCAGCTAGCATTTATATATCAAGGTGTTCTGATTTTCCACACCTTTTGTAAGCTCTTAAACCATAAATATGTGTGTGCTCTGAATTGGTACAATTATCTATTTGTATAGGGTACTATACTACATGTGCATTTCCAATATTTATAAGAATTATGTCACTGTGTTCCATTAGGATCATTTCAGCTGCCTAATAATGCTCACTGTTTGAAACCCCAAAATATTATAGGCAATCAACTTGGCCAAAGGATGGATATTCAAAATGATGCCGTACCCCCACCCCCCCGACTGCTGAAATCTACCCTCAAAGGACTGGTCTTGTGTGATATTTGCATAGATGCTTCTTCAGAGATTCCCAGAATGTTATTTAAAGGTGTATAAAGCCAATCAATGCACATTCATTTACATATTCACATCATTCTTCTTTGATTTGACGTGACAGCTGAAGCTCAATCTCTCTTTTGTTTAAACTTATGAGAAAAGAGAGTTTAAGGAGGGAAGCAGCACAATATTGCTCTCCAAAATAAAACTGGGTCCATCAGGGAAAGGCACACAAAACTCTTAAGTAGATCTGTGATGGTTTGGGAGTATTCAAAAGAACAAGATTTGAGAAGCAGGCTTCAGCAGCCAGGTCCCTGCAGTTATTCAATAAACCCCAGACACACCATATGACAACACAGTGAACATTCAAAGCATGACCTGCTAGAATTGGTGGGATCCCCCAACTATTTAAACAGAAACAGGGGAAGGAAAACAAACCCATTGTTGTTTGAAAAGGTTTTGCATGCGGAAGCAATTCTGAATGCTACTATGGCCACAACAGCCTTTTGGGGAAGCTAAAC